TTGATAAGCTATGATTATATTATTGAAATGCTTTATGCATCATTAATTTATTATAAAATATCATACATCAATTTAAACATGACAACCTGTATAATAACAGTATAGGCTTACTAATTGAGTATATGTACAATATTCATCAAGATATTTTAATATTTAATTACCTAGACTCGAATCTTCAAAACTTGCAACCATATTGATATAAAGCTAACAATGCTGTGATCTTTCGACAACTACCGCCTTTCGTTTAAATCATGAGCAATCTATGGGTTTACATGCCAAGTGCATGCACAATACCTATTACCTCAGATATTTTATAAAAAAATATTAACAACAAATAATAACTTACATGTAACCAGATATTCGAGAATATCTATAACCTTGAAATTCAAACGTCTCTCAAATTCCAGACTTGCAATTATCAATACACATGGTGGCATTGCCTTGACCGTGTCTTCGTCTTTTTCGTAGTCTTCTTCGTAGTCTTCTTTGGATTTGTTGAATTATGATGTGCTCAGCATATAATTTTATCATCATTTATAAATTCAGATTATATTATTATCATCATTGCACATCATCAAAATGCTTTATGAATCATAAATTATCATGCATCAACAACGTTGCTCATTTAAACATAGCAACCAATACAATAGTATAGGTTTACAAGTTGAGTATGCGCACAATACCCATCCAGATATTTTTAATATCTAATCGCCTAGAATCGAATCCTTCGAATCAAATTAGACTTGCAACAATATTGATACCGCATGATGTAAATTGAACCATTCTATGGACTACCATGAAATGATAAATATTGCTCTTCATTTAAACATGAGCGACCTATAGGTCTACATGCCAAGTATGTGCGCAATACCTGTTGTCTCAGATACTTTATAAATAAAATATCAACGACACATGATTACGTACATGTAACTAGATATTTAAAAATATCTGTAACGCCCGGGGCCTAGACCCCAGACTTGCAATAGTCAATATACATGGCAAGCCCCGTCCTGGTTCTATTGCGTCTCCCTCGGACCTGCTGAATTTATGATGTGCTCAGCATATATATTTTTTTATCAGATAAATTCTGATTATTATTGCACATCATCGGAATGCTTTATGCATTATCAAAATGCATTTCTTTATACACACATCATAATTTCATGAAGCTGCATGCGTTTATTGATATAGTTGCGAGTCTGGTGATTCGAACAATCCCAGGCGTACATATATTCTTGAATATATGGTTAAATGTATACTCAAAAGGTTATCATGCGTCTTAGACAAACAGGTGCATGTGCACGCACCTGGCATGTATACACCTATAGGTTGCTCATGCTTTTAAATGAAGAGCAATGGTTATCGGGTAGATTGTATGTTGGCTTCATATCATGCGGTACCAATATAGTTGCAAGTCTAGTTGATTCGAAAGTTTCAGTCTAGGCGATTCTGGATGAGTATTGTGCACCCTCAACATGTAAACCCATACTATTGTATAGGTTGCTATGTTTAAACGAGCAACGGTGTTGGTGCATGATAGCTTTATGATGCGTGTATAAAGGAATGCATTTTGATAATGCATAAAGCATTCCGATGATGTGCAATTATAATATGAATTTATCAATGATAAAAAAATATATATGCTGAGCACATCATAACTTCAGCAGGTCCGAGAGAGATGCAATAGAACCAGGACAGGGCTTGCCGTTTATATTGACTATTGCAAGTCTGGGGTCTAGGCCCCGGGCGTTACAGATATTTTTAAATATCTAGTTACATGTACGTAATCATGTGTCGTTGATATTTTATTTATAAAGTATCTGAGACAACAGGTATTGCACACATACTTGGCATGTAGACCTATAGGTCGCTCATGTTTAAATGAAGAGCAATATTTATCATTTCATGGTAGTCCATAGAATGGTTCAATTTACATCATGCGGTATCAATATTGTTGCAAGTCTAATTTGATTCGAAGGATTCGATTCTAGGCGATTAGATATTAAAAATATCTGGATGGGTATTGTGCGCATGCTCAACTTGTAAACCTATACTATTGTATGGGTTGCTATGTTTAAATGAGCAACAGTGTTGATGCATGATAATTTATGATTCATAAAGCATTTTAATGATGTGCAATGATGATAATAATATAATCTGAATTTATTAATGATGATAAAATTATATGCTGAGCACATCATAATTCAACAAATCCAAAGAAGACTACAAAGAAGACTACGAAAAAGACTACGAAAAAGACGAAGACACGGTCAAGACAATGCCACCATGTGTATTGATAATTGCAAGTCCGGAGTTTGAGAGACGTTTGAATTTCAAGTTATAGATATTCTCGAATATCTGGTTACATGTAAGTTATCATTTGTTGTTAATATTTTTTTATAAATTATCTGAGGCAATAGGTATTGTGCATGTGAATGTTGTGCATATACTTAATTAGTAAGCCTATACTGTTATTATACATATTGTCATGTTTAAATTGATGCATAATAAATTAACAATGCATAAAGCATTTCAATAATATAATCATAGCTTATCAATAATGATAAAAATAATTTTACAAATTCAAAGACGACGACGGCAAATAAGAAAAAGACACGATGTCAAAGATCCCATCCGTTTATCAAAGGTTCAATCCTGTTATCCTAAGGATTTCACAATCCAGATCACCTTGTATCTCATTTTTTATTAAATGAACAATACCTGAAATTTTCACCAACAATAATCCTATGTTATAGATTTATATCATACAAAAAACTTAAAAAACTTAAAATTAGTCAGTGACTATAACCATATTACTAGAAAACCAAACATGATGGAGTTCCGTTATAAAATGTAACAAAATAAAATTTGGAAAATTATTAATTGAAAATCGAAAAATCGTTGTAATGTAGATCACGGGGACAAACATTTTATTATTACCACTACTGCCTGCTACTATCTCTTAATATGCCACTTCTATTTGACTCATTCATGTCCAAAGTCAAATAATCTTCGTAAATGTTCTATTGGATGGTTAATAGGAAATGATGATGATAAAAACAATATAATTATGCGAAGCATAACCCTGGACACATACCTATGCATATCTGTCCATTATAAATAAATAAAGCATTGTACATGAATAATTAATTATTATATACATATCTATTAAAACAAATGAGATGACAATATTCCAATCCATGCCATATTTTACATCTACTTGTAAAAGTCTTTCTTAATATAGTAGGAAATTACTATATAAAAAGGTCCTTCTCGCAAATAAGACTCATGGATATTCAAATGAACTCCTAAAATTTTAAAGTACAGAACTCAAGAACTACCTGTAAATTGATGTGATATGTCTCTATCTTTAATCTAACTGATAGATTTTCTCAAAAAAAAAAATTTGTTGTAGAGTTCCATTCTTTCTTAGTACATGTATTTTACTATTGGATTATATTATTTTCCTTGAATAAAATTATTTTCATAATAAGAAAAGAATTTTTGGTTTATGTATATTGATTTTAATCATGAATAAAAGTCGTAAGCATGTTTAAACTTTATTCTAATAAAACGAATCAAGATTGGGTTGTATTACGGATAATTCGAATAAGAATTTGCATTACGAATAGAAACTCCACTCCACTCTTATAATAAGACCCGAAAGATTAATATAAAATTTCAATTAAACGGTTGATCGATTGTTCTTTCACTTGGTTAAATAATATCTTGGGTAAGGGATTTATTATGAAAGTTTAAAAATAACAATAAAATTACAAATAATGCAATGTTTTTTCACTGCTTAAACAATTCAGTTCCAGGATCACAAGTTAAAAATTGAAAATTGTACTATTACGACATTTATAATACAAAATATTGATATATAAGCTTTTAAATTGTATTAAAAAATGACTATTTTCGTATATACACTTCGTTATAACTTATATTAATAATATAAAAAAATGTCTGAATTTATTAATGTCGAAGACGGAATAAAAAAAGTTCGAAACAAAATTAACCTAGTCGAAGAAATCATAATAACCATAAATGGCTGCAATAATGAGAAGATATGCGTGATAAAATATCAAAGATTAAGTTTAGTGAAAGGGGTGAAATATTGGAAGTTCTAGACAAAACAATAATAAAACATCTCAAAATGAGGTTTCGATATTTAATAAAAAAAGAAGAAATTAAAGCTAAACTCAATGAATTTTTAAATTCTTACAAACCTTGGAGTATAATGGTGATATATATCCAAAAGTTTTATAATAATATATTATGTTATCTGTTGTAACGCGCGGTTTAAATATAAAATCCAGTTATCAAAGCAAAAATCCGTCGAAGCAAAGTCCGTTGAAACGAGAAGTCTGATTCATCAGATATGGGGTAATTACTATACTATAATAATAAATGAGACATTCTGGGCATCCAAGTTTCGTCCAGAAAACAATTATAGACAGATGTATATTATATGCATATATTGAAATAAATCTTTTTAATATCATTTCTAAATTATTATTATTGTCATCTATTAGAGAAGAACAAACACGCGCGTTATATCAAGGAATTTGAAACAGTCATAAAGAATGGTTGGAACAAATGGAAAAACTTGTTGTTGAGTTTGGTTCAACCAAGAGAAAAAAATCACATACACTCACCTGCCAAAAGTATCCGGACAAGATGTAGATCGTGTAAATTTCCGCGACATTTCTGCGTGTTTTACACAAAAATACTCGAAAACTAGTGAGAAAACATGGCTTTTTGTCCTAAGTAACTGCATTTCAAATGTTCGAAATTGCATATTTTCATTAATATTTATAATCTAATAAAATATAGTTTTTGGGTGATATGTAAATTCTTAAAATCGTTTAAAAATATTGGTTCCCAAGACTTTTTTTTGTCCCATAAAATATCCCACATAATAATAAAAAGTCTGAAAACTTCATAAAAGAATTTAAAGCATAACAAACAAAATAAAAAAGGATGATTAAAATTCGTTAGAAATTGATAGAGTTGTATGTATTGAGAAAATTTTCGAAAATTTTTCGAAAATCACAAAATTCAAAAAATTATTGTTTTGAATTTTTTGAATTTATTAAAATGACAAAAACAAGAGAACTTACAGATTTTGAGCGTGGTGCTATCTATGGTTTATGGAAGGGTAAAAGGCATACGATAAGAGAAATAGCTGAAGCTTTAGAAATTCCAAAATCTACTATTTCTGACAATATTACTAGGTATAAAAATTCGTCCTTTACTACTAAACCATGTACTGGAAGGCCCCAGATTTTGGATGAACGTGACAAGAGAGAAATTGTAAAAATTGTAAAAAAAAAAAGAAAATTAGCTGTCGAAGAAATTAAAGATGAATTCAATATCGCCAAACCTATAGAAGTAAGTACTAGAACTGTACAGCGTGCTTTGCACTCAAAGGGCTATTATGGAAGAGTTGCAAAAAAAAACCCCTTTGTTAGTGAACAAAATCGCAAAAAACAATTTGGATGGGCTAATACGAGGATAAAATGGGTCAATGAATGGAATTATGTGATTTTTAGTGATGAGTCAAGATATGAAATATTTAATAATGATTCAAAAAATTGGGTTTGGCGGAGATCTGATGAAAAGTACAAAAAAGAATGTTTAAGACCAACTGTCCAAAAATCAAAGGGAGTTATGGTTTGGGGTTGTTTTTGCAAAGACAGAATAGGTCCTCTCGTATTAGTTGACGGAAGTGTCAACTCTAAAACTTATATTGAAATACTTAGAGAAAATTTGATACCATTTTTAATTCAGCTTGGGCCAAGTAATTATATCTTTCAGGATGATAATGCTTCTGCACATAGATCTCAAGTTGTCAATCGATGGAAGGAAGAAAATATGATAGTGACACTACCTTGGTCAGCCCAAAGCCCTGACCTTAATCCAATTGAAAATATATGGGCAGAATTGGAAAGAAAAATACGAAATTATAAAGTTAAACCAAAGAATCAAAGTGAATTATTTGACGCACTTAAAACAGAGTGGTATAATTTAGATATAAATTATATAAATAGATTAATATATAGTTTGCCTAGTAGAATTTATCAAGTGAAGATGAATAAAGGGAACCCTACTAAATATTAATAAAATTACATTTTGGATTTTTGAATTTTATGATTTTCGAAAAATTTTCGAAAATTTTCTCAATACATACAACTCTATCAATTTCTAACGAATTTTAATCATCCTTTTTTATTTTGTTTGTTATGCTTTAAATTCTTTTATGAAGTTTTCAGACTTTTTATTATTATGTGGGATATTTTATGGGACAAAAAAAAGTCTTGGGAACCAATATTTTTAAACGATTTTAAGAATTTACATATCACCCAAAAACTATATTTTATTAGATTATAAATATTAATGAAAATATGCAATTTCGAACATTTGAAATGCAGTTACTTAGGACAAAAAGCCATGTTTTCTCACTAGTTTTCGAGTATTTTTGTGTAAAACACGCAGAAATGTCGCGGAAATTTACATGATCTACATCTTGTCCGGATACTTTTGGCAGGTGAGTGTATGATTAATTAAATTCACTGTTACTTACAATAGAAAGTTCTGCGGCTTCATTATTAATGGATATTTCCTTCTAAGGATTGCTTTTGTTGAAAATACTACTTTTTTTATAAGGATTATTAGACTTGATAGGTCTTTCTGTTCATTAGTTTCCGATCTTTCTTTATGTTTGTTACTTGACAGTTCAGCCTCGTTAAGTAAATACAAAACAAAGTTTATGATGTTTAAATAGTTAACACAGCGTTTTTTCTCTTGCTTTAATTTTCTGATAATACCTACTCATCCCTTGCACCAAAACCTTTATTTTATTTTTTTTGTATTTTGGTTTTTGTAATAAATTTATATTCCTTTTTAATATTAATAATGTAACTAAGTGGAGATAACTATCATTTTTTTTAAGAAAAAAAATAACATTTACTCGTTTCTTTCAATTATTTCCTTTAGCATTTTTATTTTTGAAAAAAAAAAGAAAAAGAAAAAAAGATAATATTTATTATCGTTGATAAAGATACTTTCTTAGGACACGAGTTGATTTTTTTTTTGAAACCAATTTATTTTTGACAGAGTCCAAGGCGACAAGACGTGAATATCGTTTGGTATGGTTTGGTTCTGAAGAAGGTTAATAACTAACCAGGTGTAACCTTTTATTTGTATCAATATGCCTTGTTTATATTTTATAAATATAAATAGTGGAATTAAATGTCGTGGAGCAGAACTTTCTGGGTATTTATAAGATTTTTATCATGATGATTGATATTTTTTTTTATGTAATCGTTATTAATATTAATATTAAATCATAATAAATGATTATAAGATGTCAACGGATGACGTCATTCTCACATTCCTCATGTACACATATGGCTAATTTGACCTCATCTCCCGATGATACAATGATGCAACCAAATTATGGGGGTATAGCCCTGGAATTTATCAAAACTGCATTAGGACATTTTCACTAATCTTCCCTCTCAGCACCAGACCAAAGAAGGCTGCCAACATGTTAGCCGAAAAGTTGCCTGCAACGATCCTACCTCTAGGGTAAGGGTGGCCTGCAGTTTGACTCTGTCCGTTCTTATTGTGATAGTAATAGTCACCACGATCCGTGAAATAAAATGGTTCAGATTTTGATTGGTGCGTTCCATATAAATTAATCATCTTCATAAATTCTTTAATTTTTATTTGACAAACTGAATTTATTATTAAAATGGGGACAGGGTTGTTGGTGAGTAGGTGTGCTACCAACAAAAACGGCAACCCAGGACTCAAAGCTCTGAATTCAGGAAAATTTAAAACAACAACGCCAACTTTATTCTAGTGACACAAAGCAATCATCACACAAATACCAATCATCATAGGGAAAGATAAAGGGAAGTTTTATCTAAAGCCTTTCAACATGTTCAACCCTCCTTCAACTGTGGGAAACAATTCCATGATGCTGAATTGTGTTTAATTGTATTGTGATTGTATGCCTGTGATAGGAAATTTTAATTAAACCTGACACCGTGATCAACATCAGATTTATTATCTATTATTGTGAACTCCAAAGATCTGGGTAGACACGCATTATTAAAAGTTTCATTCCTGTATGGTCTTGGTATTATTGCTTCCTGAGTGATGCAATTGTTATGTCAATGATGATATCGAATGTATTGAATAATAATCATGACTATCATGGATATTTAGTATATGGAGGCATCAATGTTCAAGGAAAGTGTTGTTTGTTTCGTTTTGTTTTAATAGATATCTACAATAAAAAAATTGCATGACTGCACCACTATATTAATCAAGCTATCTTTGTGCTGATTTAGAGTCCCGTCTTTCTTTGCTTATATAATCTATTGATTCTCTTTTCTGAGCAATGTTTACAAATCAAGTTTTTTTATTCTTTCAATAATCAATTTGTAACTTGGGCTCCAAAAATAATAGAAACCCTGGTTATTGAAAAAAAAATTTTTCTTCAAAATTTTTTGGATAAATAAACTGAACACAGACTTTTTATTCATCTACATAATATACTTAATCAAGAATTCACTAATATATATATATATATATATATTAGATAATACTTTTTCAATTGGTTATTTTTTATATTCCACATCACATCATCTTTGTTTGCTAAATGAGATACAAGTCTTGATGCTTCTCTACGTTGAAACTTTTTGGAACAGTACAATCATTTAGCAGAAAAATGTCCTTTAGATAGTTCTATCCATCTACATTACCTAGAATGACAAAAGAAAAAAAACCTACGTTTGCTCAAAAAAAAAAAAAATACAATACTTGTAGCAGGACGGAGATAATAATAGAGAAAGCAATTACAGGAATTATTGTTACTTTATTATCTAAAAGATATTGTTCAAATTCTAAATCATCGACGGTTGATTCAATTTTCCAAATATTTATTAATATATTAATATGATTGAGTTCATTATTATCGCTTGATGCAGCTATTTTTTCCAATCTACTTGAAGCTTTTGACTGACATAAATAAAAAAACACTCTGATAGGCTATTAATTGAGTGTTTGGAAATAAAATTACGGGAAGATTATTCCTACAGCCTGCTTGGTTATTGAGCCTTTACGTTTTAAAGTTTATCCGAATCTTTACTTATAATAATAATGTTTTGATGATATATATGTGTAACATTAAAAATATTATCATGAATTCCTTCATCAATAGAAAGATAGGAAAGCTATTCATATTTTCATTATTTTGCTAAATCACTGCTATTTGATGAAATAAAATACAAAAAGTTGTATCTTTTGAAAGCAATCATTAACATGCTTCCCTTTATAAAAAATATCTCTACCACGAATGAACAAATGAAGAAAGTATAGGTACTGGAACTATAAAGAGCTTCGTATATCAAATTTGAATTTATAATCTTTTTGATATAGTTGGCTCAGTCTAAAGACCTCCTAAATTGTGCGCAAAATTTAAAGTTATAGAAGTCACTTTCTGTCCTACCTTTTAAAAAATAGTTCATATAATGGGTCTCTATATAGTTTTAATGCAATGAATGAGATTTCCTCAAAAAAATTATTTGTTGTAGAGTTCTATTCTTTTTTAGTACTATTGTTAAATTTAAACTAGACGAACGTCATATCTTAATTTGGCAGTAAGGAAAATCAACTCTCGCTAAACAATTCTTTCATTAGTATTGGGTTTCATTCTAATTTAGACTTTCCTTTTAAGAATAATTACGAGTTCTTTTTAAACTTTTTAAAAGTGAATAAATGATTTTAAGTTCTTTCTTTTAATTAATTGTTCGTGTTTATCATATAACATTAATTAAATTGGTAACTTATTCTAAATCATTTTTGACTATAAAAGAGTTATTATTATAAAAATAAATGGAATTATTATTTTGTTTCTCCACACTATTCAATAAATCACAATAAATAATCAAGTCAAAATTTAAATTTTATAAAGACATTTATTTTTATACAATGTTACATCATAATAATAAATTATCATCACCAGAAAGAGAAGAATACATATTTAAAATTTATTATGAAATGTATGGTAATACTTTTGTTAATTCTGATAAAGAAAGTAGAAAAGATTATTTTTTTTCTTTGGCTGAAAAAAACAAGAGGCTTTCTGAAAATGAAAAAGAATATTGTAAAGAAAGGTTTAATTATGACTTTGAATTATATAATGCAATGCATAAAAAAGGAAAATCAAAAGAATGTAACAAGTGTAAATTGACAAGATACTCTGATAGGTTCTGTGAAGGTT